TCTTCCCGTTCAATCCTCACTCCCCAACTCAGGCATGTTCGTGTTGTGACGGCTGGACTGCCACACTAGGTTTCTACTGTTTTGAGCCATCAAATTTATGGCAGTCCTAAGAACTAATACACAGTGGAAGGTTACATATCCTCAAACTGGTTTTGAGACAGACCAAATGCTTCATTCAGAAATCCAAGTTCTGCTTTATAGCCCAACTCTTTTTCCTCATCTGATAAAGGCTCCTTCATGACTCTGTTTTTCTGGTTCTGGTAGCCTTTTTGCAAAGTAAATCCCAGCCATTCATCCCCTGAACTCAATTTCCATTTATGTGCTATGTTCTTGCCCTTCTTGCTTCTCCAAATTAATCTCTAGCCAGGGGTGGTGGTGCACACCTGTAATCTCAGAACTTGGGAGGCTGAGACAGGATGATTACCACAAGTTGGAGACTAGCATGGGCTACATAGTGAATACAAGGCCAGCCTGAACTGTGTAGTGTGACCCTGTCTCAAAAAAAAGTACTCTCTGTTCAAAATACACAATTTATTTTCTTATGTGCTATCCCTTAGTATTTTCTGCTTAGTTTTGTATATAATGATTTCTGTACAACTACAGAGTTAACTTGTTGAGTACAAGTAATCTATTTTTTTAGATTTTGCCACAGTAATGTTAGATAGAGTGGTGCATTAATTGATGGTTAACTTGTAATGTCCAACTGAACTGAATTAGCATGGCTTGGGTGCAGAAGACCTTCCTGAGGATTGTTGTAACGTCATAAAAAGAAAATTAAAGGGGAAGATTGGGGGCTATTGAGGAGCTTCTAGGAGAAGCTCACTGTAGATGCATTTCCTGATGCGATTCTCAATGGAGGAGAAACTGGGGCCCTCACTGTTGCTGGGAATGGCTGCTATTCTCATCAGGGGAGCTCTGATCTTCACTGTGAGCATAACTACTTCCTGGCTCCAGTGTAGATCCTTCAGCCTAGTGGCACAAGTCCTTCAACCCACTGGTGCAGGTCTTCTGGCTTCCACTACTTGCATTTGGGCCTCCTAGGTGCAGATTCTTGATCCAGACAAGCATGAGACATTGCCATGGGCTCCAGGACACTGGCTGGACTCATGGAGAATATTGCCTTGGACTCTAGGCCTTCAGCTGGACTTGTGGGGGTCATTGCTGTGGGATCTGGGCCATTGCCTGGATCCTTCTGCTGTCCAGTGTGCTGCTAGATCTCTTACACTCCTCTGCATTTGACTTTTTGGGTGACTATTATAAAATAATCTTATAATTATGTGTCCAGTATTAAATCCATTTTCTTGCAAACCCTGACTACAACAGACACATGGTAGATGAGTGAATGAAATGACTCCGTACAAGTAGATCAACCTGAAGTGATAATGTGAATTCATCTTTCTGCTTTTTTTTCTTGATCTATGTTTTTCTCCTACTCATGTGCAGGGCTACATCATATACACAGTGAACAGTAAAAGATATTAGGAATGGATGTTGCATAAATTCTTCTTATTTTTTTTTTTGAGAACAGGCTTCTGAAAATAAGTGATTCTTCCTTTGTCAACTTTTGCTATCTTCAACTATTTTGAATTCTCCAATAAGGGTAACAAAGAAAAGCACTGTGGTGTTTTAATCATTACAATATTCTTTCTTTATATATAGGTAAACAGCTCTACCAGGGAGCCCTGTTGGGCAGAACAGATGAATCGCACGAAATAGGGAATTTTTTCCAGAATAATATTTTTGTTGCCTATGAGTTTAAGTGCAAGCATGTGGCACTTTGTAGATGTAGCAGAAAAATCCTTGGGCCAGGAGTCAAGAAGCTCACACTCTAGTTCTGTGCCAGTCACTACCAGCTGTGACCTTGAGCAAGTCAGTTTCTCCTGCATTTCTGCCCACCTCATCACGAAGGGCCATTCATATTTGAATACGCGATGATTTTGGATCCTTTTTTTTATTCATCTCAATCTTATATGGCTAATGTACGTTGAATCTGGCAGGATCAGATCAGAAAACACTAGATATTTCGACAGGGGGACTTTAATGTGGGAAATTGGTTCCACAGTTTTTGGTGGGCTAAAATAGACCAGGAGCATGAACAGTGGGTTAACACAGAATTGACAGTCCCAGGAAGCAATTACTGCTTATGGGGTAACAAAGAGAAGATGTTACAGTTATCAGAACCTAGAAATGTGCAGACGCTTGATGCAGGAGGTCAAATATCTGAGGAAAGTGCTCTACTTTGCTGGTGTTTTTGCTTTAGGAGCTTAGAGGAGGAGTTTTATAGAATCAAGGAGCTGGTACCTTGGAAGTGGCACGACAAGGCTATCCTGGCAGTGTATGATTTAGGGTGGAGGCTGAGACTGACTGGTAGGGTGACAATGCGAGGAATAGCAAGCACTGCCCTCCTCCTGTCCTTAAGGGACTCTCAGGGTCTGTATTAGTAGAACCTACCATGGAGCCTGCTGACAAAGGACAAATAAGGTTTTCAGAGTCTGGCCTGTGCATCAGAATGCCGAGCACAGCAAGATGAATTTAGAGCTGAGACAACAGCCCAGTGTCCGGCACAGAAGGTTTTACTCTGTGTGTGTGTGTGTGTGTGTGTGTGTGTGTGTGTGTGTGTGTGTGTGTATGTGTATTAGCAAATGCAGTGCCTGCAAGTTTAGAGTCTGTCTTTAGGCCAAGTGAGTATCTGCGAAGAAGTACAGGAGATATGATGGCAAAAAAGAAAACGTGAAGAGGTAAAAGAATTGTGAACCTCTTTTCTCTTGGTTTGATCAATTATACTACTCATGATTTACACAATATGAAGCTGGTTGGGCCTTGAATACTATAAGTAGATTTTTGTTTGTGCAAGTGTCTAATATGAGAAATTCTTATCAAGAGGAAACCCATCTCTGATCTTGAGAAAGAAGATAGCGCAGTAGAGTATGTGTCTTTGGGCACCTGTTATAAGCAGAATTCTAAAGTCTCCTTAAGACTCTGGTCTCCTGGTTATTCAGTCAAATGTTAATCTAGGTACTATAGTGAAGGAATTTTGCAGATGTAATTAAGATTATGTGTGTGTGTGTGAGATTATTCTGGGTTACCCAGGTGGGCACCATATAACTACAGAAACTCTGAACTTCTTATTTTTACAATTATGAACTTTACAAACAGATTTTACATTCTTAAATTCTGAAACTTTCATTTAAAAAAGTGAGAGACAAGACATCCTCTACTCAAGTATTTCAGGGGTGAATAAACTAGTACCAGATTTTAAAATTATATAAGCCAGAAGCATTTTTCATATTATAAAAATAGTGACATCCAGTAGCCTCAAGTATACCTATAAGAAGCACACGGACCTAGTTGTGCAAAACCACAGTTAATAAACATCTATGTGTTTGACATATATTTCCATTAATGGTAGGTATAATTCTGTGAATATCAAATTACACAGTTTTTAAAGTTGTACACAAGCACACTTCCTATGGTACCAAGGAATGGTACCATAGCTCTCCACAGAAACTTGTAAAAGCAGAAAAACTGCTCTGTTTTCAGTCATAGATGTGGCAGAAGATAAAGATAGTTGAGAAGATGAATCAGAAAGTTCACAGAGATTCTCTATGTGAGAAGGACTCCACAACCTCGTTATTGCCATTGCAGGGGCCAGAAACCAAGGAATGTGGGTGGCCTCTAGAACCTGAGAATGGCCTCCAGCCCACAGATACCAAGGAAGCAGGAATTTCCTACCTACAACTGTCAGGAACAAAATTCAGCCAACAAGATGAGAAATAAACTTGGAAATAAATTCATCCCCAGAATGTAAAGAACAGCATATAGCCCTACTGACATCTTGGTTTTGGCTTTATGAAAACAGAGAAGCAGCTGAGCATCTTGTAGTTAGATTTATAACCTATGAAAATGATATTAAGCAAGTATTTTAAGTAATGTATGTGGTAATTTGTTACAGTAGCAACAGAGAAGAAACAGCACCAAAGTGGTGTTCCAACACAATCTCTGTTCTTGTCCTTTTCTCCCTAAAGGCTCCTGTAGCTTCCTCCACCTGCCCATTGAATCCTTACAGAAGAGGAACTTGAAGGTTCCATTAGGGGCTTTCCTGATCTATCTGAATTCTGCCATGGTCCACAGAAGGGGAAACTTGGGAAACTTCCCCTCCGCTGCCCTGGGATGGGCTCAGAGAGAACTTCTACTGCTTTTAATCAATAAGCAGTCAGTCCGCCATAACAAAGAGGATTGATGGAAATTGGGACAGATAACTGATGTGTTATCTGCAAAGTTGGGTTGAATCAGACTTTAA